ACGTCCCTGGAGAGGCAGACGCGAAGCTTTCAGGTCAACTGTTCCCCGGCTGAGATGCGGCCTCACCCCGGATCTGCTGTAGGAGAGCGAGGGCGGTGGCCCGTGGACTTCCCTGTGAAGGGCCTAGCTGGGCAGACCTTACAAAGAAGGAAGGGAAACAAAACTCGGAAGGGATTAAGACTCAGTTACCACACCGTCGAGTACACGTCGATTCTTCAAAGCGTCGCACCTATTGAACTTGAGTCCCACACTGTACCTGCTGTAGACAGGGCTTTCCGTCAAGCGGTCACGATAACCGGGACTGTACGTGCCTGCTCGAACGCCGCGTGTGCCCGCGCGCCCATCGGCGCACGCTGCAAACTGCAGGCGGGTGCGTGCGCCGAGCATCCCGTACTGGTCAGACGCTCCGCCCCGTGAAAGCCGAGGCCGGGCTGTCGTCCTTGGGCAGGAGAGTGCCGTCCCCTGGCTCCCAGGACATTCGCGCCCGCTCGTAAACCTCACGTGTGCCACGCTCCGCTGCTGCCACCCGCCACAGACCAGGCGGCCTTCGGAGCAGGAACGCAGGGCACGCGGGGCAACGGGTGCTGGGACCCCCGCGTGCCTCCCGAAGAACCTGTCGTATCGGGGGGTGTTTTGGTAAAGCTCTGTTCTACGTCAAGATCAGAACCTCAACAAGGGACTAAGGTCCTGCTTTAAGAGGCTGCAGCCTGGCTGGAGCTGAGCCTACCAAGCCCTCCGCGGTCCGGTCGCACGAGCGGTGGCGCTGTCCAGAGCGGGGACGGTGGCCTCACTGTGGCCAGTACCCACGACCTGTCCCGGGGTCCAGCGCATGCCTGGTGTTCCCTGTCGGTGTCTGCATCCCGGCAGCTAACAGATGTCCGCTCTCGTCGAGCGAATTACTTCACGTTTCACGCACTGGCGGCCGCACACGTGTCACTATGGCAACATCATTAACTTGAGATCTTACCGGAAACGTGCACTCTAATCACAGCTAATTACACCACGCTGCTCTCCCGTCCACAGGAAGGGAGCGGGAACGCAATCACGGGGACTGCATTTTCCGTTCGGCTGTGGCCAACGACACGCGGCGTGATGGACGCTTCCCGTCAGAACGCTCGTCGACCGAGCCCAAGCCTGGTCCCGGTCACGCCGAGCGCCGCCTCCCGGCTATGTTGGCGCCTCTCGGTTCCAGTTGCCCCTCACACCACAGCTTGGTCGCAATCACGCGGGCAGACCGTGTCTGCAAACTCACACCCCGGATTCTCCACAGCCACCCACCGTGACTGCTAAGCCCCGGCCGACTTCGGGTCAACCTAGTCCCACGAAAGAGGAAGGAACAAAGAGCGGCCTACCGGCCGCAGGGGGGCGCTGCAGGCAGAGGGTGGGCCGGCAGGTTCTGGAAGGCGAGCAAGGCCGCACTGCCCTCGCCTCCCCTGCGTAACGCCCACCACAAAACCTGCCTGGCCAACAACACGGGGCTTTGCCCGGAAGGCCGGCGTCTGCCCGAGGCCACACGGCGCCCAGCGGCAAGGGCTCAAGCCCCCGTGTGCCAGTGCCCCCATCCGCCTGTGTGACAAGCACGTTTACAGTCACGGCGAGGACAGTGCCGTGTCTGTGATGTGCCCGCAGCTGTGACGGGACTCCACACCTTGTCCCCCATTTCCATCACCTGCAACTGGGTGGACTTGACACACGGCCCGGGACAAGGACAGCGCACGGCTGTCACCGCGTGTGCCACACGGACGTGCTCAGTAAGTGGTGTTCACCTTGTGGTTACCAACAAAGGTTCTGAGAAAGGTCGAGACCGAAAACTGTTTTAAATCCAAAACATGTTTCAAGCTCCACGTCTTCAAAACAGGAAGTGACGGCGGGAGTCCCTTCCCGTGACCTCTGGTACAAAAAGGCCTTCGGAGGATGAAATGCAGAAGATTTTTTCAAGTTTATTTATTTCATGAGCAGGGGAGGGGAAAAGAGAGAGAACCCCAAGCAGGACCTACACCCTCAGGGCAGAGACCAAGGCGGGGCTCGAACACCTGAACCGTGAGACCGTGACCCGAGCCGATGTCAGACGCTTAACCGACTGAGCCCCCAGGCACCTCTCACTAACGTGCTTTATGTACTTTTTTGTAATTCTTTTTAAAGCTCAGGAGCCCAGATTACTTATTTTTGCTTTTTAAATGTTTTTAAACGTTTCTATTTATTTTTGAGGGAGACACAGCATAAGTGGGGGAGGGGCAGAGAGACAGGGAGATCCGAGATCTGAATGAAGCGGGCTCCAGGCTCTGAGCCGTCAGCACAGAGCCCGATGTGGGGCTCGAGCTCACGAATCGTGAGATCATGACCTGAGCCCAAGTCAGCTACCCTACCTACGGTGCCACCCGGGAGCCCCATAATGCTCCATAACTTCTATGCTGTACCAATAACTGCTTTTCTGGTGTTACACTGTTCGGTTTTGTTTTCCAAAACGATGCCGTGAACCATCTTACGTCGTCTCCTGTCTCAGACACGCAGCTGCTTCCCGAGAGGAAGGCTTCCTGCGCGGAGCCTGCCCAGACGAGTGCCCGGCAGGTAACACTCCCACCCGCAGCGGAGAGAAGGCCCGACACGGTGTGCCCCTCACAGGTCAGGGGTCTTCACGTGGGGACAAGCCATGTCTCCACCGCACGAAGACGCCTACTCACAAACAGTGTGCCCGTCCACCACTTCGGTCTTCCAGAATGTAAGAACTTACATCCGTATAGGCCTTACACGGGTTTTGTTTGAATTTATTTTTAATATACTTTTTGTTGCTATTCTGATTGGCATTTTTGGAATTAAATGCCCCCATTGTTACTGGTATAGGAAATGTAGTTAAATTTTAAGGATGAATTTACAGGTGTCACTAAGCTGTCCCGGTAATTCCAGACGCTCTCCTGACGGCTCCTTTGGGTTCCTTTCTGGGCAAACTGTCACGGAACCCCTGCTCTCGGGGAAAGCAGGCCTGTTCGCGCTGGAGGTCCGAGCGCACGTGGCTGTTCTCATCTGTTAGACCGCGGTTAGAGAGCAGGCTGTGGGCTGTGGAGGGCGGGTCCCTCCCACCGCCTGGGGACAGCTGAGGCCCCCGCCCGCCTCAGCCCGCACCTATCGCCTCCGTGTGTCTCCAGGACGCTGCTCTGGGGAGGCGTCCCGGCCTCTCCGCAGGGTCACTCTAGGAACCATTTTGAGTTTGGGTTTGCTTGGCTCCAGCTTCTCCATCAAAGTGACTCCACCCGGTTTCCAGAAATCATTCACTTCTGTAAGGGCGCTTTTGCTTCTTCGCCACAACCGTTACAGATTTGTTCTTAAAATCTTCTCCTGTCAGCTCCGTGAGGGTGGGAAGGAGGAATCTGAAGGCGTCTTCCCGGGGTGCCGTCTTGAGCCTAAGCTCCTCGTGATTTCTGATCTCATGACCCATGCGTGAACTTACCGGCAAGTCCCTGGAGACGCTACAAAGACAAGCCCTCACGAAGACCAGACGTCAACGCCACCTGACAGCTGGATTTTGACCGAACCGCGGCAAGCGCCTCACTTCCTCGTGAGGGTGGACGACTGCGAAACACCCAGTGAAACACTTCTCGCTGGGAACCACAACCCGTCTCCCCAGCGGGTCACGTCTTCCTTCACGATTCTCTGGAAGGTCTGACCACCTTTGCACCCCTCACATTTACGCCCACGCTTGGTGCTCCCTCGCACTGCCACGAGCGGGTTTTTACTCTTCAGTCTGCTTGACGCGCAGGGAGCCATTCTGTCATTTTGCCCTGTGATCTGCCACTTCACGGAGTTTTAGCAGTTGGCTTCCTCGGTTCATTGTTTCATCTACAAATATTTGCTTATTCTTTTGGTTGTACGGCTGACTTCTGTGTCTTGTCTTACTGCAACGTCTAGAACACGTGCTAAATCACAACGTTAGTTTTTTCTTTACTTTTCCTACGATGAAGCTCGTTCTCACATCTTGTTAAAAATAATGTTGAACTTCACTTGAGACATATTTTACCACGTGATAGGAGTATTCTCTTATTTTCAGTTCACCAAGAATTACTGGGAATTTAAGCCACGAATGGATCAATCAGGTAGGGACTTAACCTGTCGATAGGACTTTTATTATCGTACTGGATTCAGTTCGTCTTTTATTGAATACGTTACGTATTGACAAGAATTCTTTGATGAAAAAAGTTAAAAGTGAAATAAAAAAATATAAAATCTGGGGCACAGACCTGATGGGGTAGTTTCTAGTAAGGCTCTTTAGGAGGGTTACTGTGAAAATACCAAATCCATGCACACATTGCCGTACCCTCCCAACAGCTCAAAAGTACCATCCTGTAATAAACAAGCAGTTTTTCCTCTTACGTACCCTCCACAGAGATGTCATAAAGGCAGTTAAAACAAAGAAAGAACCGTAAGGCTGCAGAGAATTAAAAATATTCAAGCACGTCATTTAAATCTCTAAGGATTTAACATTTTGCTAATTCTGATGATATTCCAAGATGAAGATTAGTTGTGTGCCAGTGTTCAGGGCAAGGTCTGGAAAATTCTAAATGTGAATGAATTCAATACCGTGCTACACACACACACACACACACACACACACACACACACACGAGCATGTGCGCCCCTGAACATACATGGACACACATGCCCTGTGCATACATGTAGACACACACTGTGTGAGCATACGTGGACACACATGCTCTGTGCATGTATGTGGGCACACACACCCATGCACATACGTGAATACACACATTTTGAACATACGTGGACACACACACCCGTGAACACATATGGACACACACACGCCCCGTGCACACATGTGGACACACACACACACACACACACACACCCGTGAACACACATGGACACACACACGCCCCATGCACACATGTGGACACACACATGGACGGACACACACACACACACACACACACACACCCCGGGCACACACGTGGACACACAGGATCACTACGGACTGGATGCCGGCTCGGTACCTGTTTTGTCGGTCAGCAGATACACCAGGCGTCCCAGCTCTTCCGGGATGGTGCTGGTGCGCACGACTGTGCCGGGGATGCTCTCGTCCTTCATGATCATCCACCCGTACGCGGCCTTGCCCATGTCCAAGTTCACGCGCAGACTGCCGAATAAAACCGACCAGAGTTGTCAGTGTGGTCCAAAGCCAGGCAACACCCTCACACTCATGTTTTCCACAGACGTTTATTACCTTTGACCTTACGTGAACTAGGTTGGTGATACTGGGTTTCAGCATTTAAAATAAACGAAGCTGTTGACACTTAAGCCAACGAACCTCTTCACGCCCCACAACGTGTTTGCACGTGGCGGTCAAACGGGCTCCCGATCCTCGCCCTACAGCTGAGCGCGTGGAATCGGATGTCCGGGAAGAAGGTGGGTGGCCGCGCGCGCCCCACGCACGCCCAGAGGAGAGGTCTGTGTTTATGGGGCTCAGGCGGTGCCTCCCTGGGAGAGACTGGCGAAATGTGCTCGTGTGCTCATTTTACAAGGACAAACAGGAGGCTTCCCCCCGGTGGCGACTCCCTCCCAGGCTGAACTCGCCCGGGGGGAGCGCTCGGCCCCGCGCAAGGCCAGGCTTCCACGCCGGGGCTGCGACCTGAGGCCCGGGGCGGTGGCCGAAGCAGGTGCCGGGGACAGTGGCAAGAGGCGGGATCAGAGTAGCCGGGGCCAGGCCACCAGGTGCGGCGCAGGGTCTCACAGTCAAGAGCCATGGAGGCCCCTGACTAGGCTGAGGCAGAGTCCGGAGTACATGTTAAAAACGGCGCCTCTCTGACCCAAGCTGCGCTCGTCCACCTGCTGGCTTAAGTGAAGCGCTCGCTCTGCTCATGCTTTTGTACCTAGCAGTTCTGGCCTCGCTTTGCTCTTGGTAACGATGAGACGTAAGATCATCAGACACGCGTCAAAGCCCATAAAAAAATCTGTGCCCGGTGTAACTGTGTCACGGAAACAGCAGACACGATGCACCTCCACCACGTGGTGAGGCTGCTGACCCTCAATCACGGCGACCCAAACTGCCAAGACGAATTGGCAATTCGTGACAATAAAAGCACGCTTGGAAAACAACGTGAAGGAGTCAGAGTCAGCGAAGACAGCCTGTAGGCAAGTTAAAGAAAATTAAAATGATCATAATGAGTTATTTGTCCATAACGCTCCCATCTCAAAACTCCTAAGACCTCTCACGGTCAGAAAGAAAAGTCATAATCGACAAATACACAGACCTTTGAAACCGGCCTCACGACCTCTTGGCTACTTACAATGCCGATACGGCAGGGAGACCAGCCGGTCAGGGAGGACAGACACCCCAGGACGGCACGGGGGGCAGAGCACGGCAGCCTCTTGGCCTCACGGGCGGCCTCCTGTTAAGGTCTGGGGTGCAGACACCACTCTCTCTGTGGGGCCGGGGTGAGCGCCCAGAGCGGCCGGCGAGGAGCTTGAGGAGCACTGGCGAGGGTCCCAGCGGCAGCCACTAAGAGCCACCGCCTGGAAAGGCTGAGGGGCACGGGGGCTGGAGGAGGGACACGCGGGGTCTTGTGTGGACCTGTCTGTGAGCCGGGTATCGGCGATCAGACAGACCCTCTGAACCCGGACAGTCAAGTGCTCTCACTTGACTCAGCGGGCCAGCGAGCGGGCAGGGGCAGGCAGGGGGCCAGGCCACTGATGACCAGGGTGCAGGGGGCGGTGTGGGTCCCTGTGGAGCTCAGCACGGTGGGCTCAGCAGGCCCAGAGGCCAACGCGGTGCGGGAGCACGACCTTCTTCTCTTGTGTACCGGGGTCAAAGTATTTTGGGAAACGTCAGCCTGCCTCAACTACCACAGGGCAAATGGGTACTTTCCCGGAGTTCACAGGGTGCTGCTGGGCTTGGGGCTGAGTGGAGACCAAAGGGGCACCTTCTGGGTTCTTCCACGGGGTCCTCTCGACATCACGAACGGCCACGATTTAACAAAACAACTGCTGTCGTCACAGAGCCATAAGAACCTGCTGTTTCATGAGCCAGTGTGACACAAGGTGGCGGGAACAGGCCCGGCCAGGGCGTCAGGAAGGGTCGCGCCCGAGCACAGGCTAACTGGGAAGCATGGCCGTCTCACCAGCCCACGTTCCTGACCAAACCTCCCCCCCCCCCCCCCCCCCC